CGTAAGAACGAACTGGAGAAAAAAATACATCTCGTAAAAATGAAGCTAGAAACAATAATGTCATACTGAGCGGACTTCTAAAAATATACCTGTCGTATAAATCTGAAGGTTGAGGTAAATGCATTCTACGTGGTGATTTTGGAAAGAATCATTTCTTTCAAAAACAAACCTTCGAATCTTTTGATTTTGAATCCCGTGGCCGGCCCATTATCGCTAGCGATTCATGTGAAAACTCTTGTTTCGTTTGTGTTTTGTTTCCTTTTTGCAACCGCACAACCCGCAGCCACAATGAAGAAATCATGCAAACACATACCAAACAACCAACCAACCAACCGACCGACCGACCGACCGACCAACCAGCCAACCAGCCAACCAGCCAGCCAGCCAGCCGGTTAACTGTCGCCTGACCGATCAGGCAATCATTTAAAAATCAAACCACACTTGTAATACGTTTCTGAATTGAATGCCTATAAAAATTACATCCAATTTTACGCGAAGCACAGTAGCAACCGATGCTTTCATTTAAGATGTAAAGATTTCACCACAATCATGAGTGAGCTGCATATGTGCAAACTTTACCGACTGGCTAAAGACAGCTGGGATTTTTTCTTTCCAGCCATATCAAATTTAAATTCATTTCAATAGGCTTGCAGGGCAAGCTTGGTATCGATTCATAGAGCCATTTATAAATTTGTCTGTAACTGAATATTCCCTTAAGCCTCTTTATTTGCTGATTTTTCTTTTTCAGGGGAAAACCAAGGGCATAGACACGAAAAGAAATCGAAGGTGTCGAACATTAACGTTCTAAGAAACGATGCTGAAAAGGTGACCCCACAACCAAGTAATATATGCATGTGATGTTGTGTTGCCAAGCAGGTTGCAGGCTGCTGCGGCAAAGAGGGGTGACAGTGAGATTTTTTGGGTTTGCGTTGCACACACCTTCCGGGTCGTGAGGCACTTAATATTTCTCACGTATCGGTATTTATGTACTGCTATCCTATGGCTAACAGATTCAACCTGCGCTATGCGAAGTTCCATGGCGCCTAACAGACATATTATTCTGTAGAAATCACGTTCATGTCAAAAATGCGAAAGACACTTATGGGGATCGCTGCATTTTGCGGCCCAATCTTCCGATTTGGCTAAAATCGTGCAGATTTTACCGGCAATTGATCAAGCCTGAGAAATATTCTGCTTCCCTTTGACCTTTGCACCTGCGGTTTTATTGTTGTTGCTGACAAAACATACTTTGAAAGAAATCATAAATATGAATGATCCTCCGTGGATCAATTCAAGCGTTTCTGCATGAATGGATAATCAAAATGATGTCCCACTCAAAACACGGTTCACCTACATAGTTTGAGAAATAGGTTTGCGGGTACTGATGGAACAAATCTCTTTTGGGTGAGGTGTGGTTCGTAGAAGACCCGGTGAGCGTTCGCTCGACGTATTTGGTTGTACAGATGCAGTCAAGAATCACTTCAGGCCTATCAGGCATCGCGTCACATTAATGTATTATGCCATTGCATCACATTAAGATGTAAGGAATGGCACCCCTTCTGTAATTGCTTTCTGCACGCATGCGTGTAGCATGTGGTTATTTAATTGTGTCCTTTGGCATGGAAAATTACTTGAGGATCGTGTTAAGAGTTTCTGTGCATTTGCCGCACAAATAAATCCCATACATTTCCAAGAATATTATCGCATACCTTTGGAGACAAAGTACACCTGCACAGAGTAAGCAAACGGTCTGTGCCAGTCCGTGATCAGAATACCATAATTAATTTTCAACACGGCGGAAATAGAAAAGCAAGTTGGCACGGGGGGTAATATCTAGACCAAGACATAGTTTTTAAAAATACTCAAATAAATGAATCAATAAATGAACCAAAAATTAATTCTAAACGAATAAAGAGGGCGCGTAAATAAATAGGATAAAATCTGGCCCGGGGTTGAAGTTCATACGGCGGACTAGACAAATCACTCTGCTTGCACATCAATGTTCTCATCCTCTGTAAAGAAATGTAAAAAAAAATGAACATTTAATTCGTATATTTTCTTTATTCGTTTCTTAGAGAAAAACAAGTTGACTCGGCTCAACTGAATACGCCACAGCATTTCGTACAGTCATGAAACGTCCAACAGTAAGAAAACAAATACTCCCATTACATTAACCGAACAAATGTAACAGAAAACAGAAATAAAAATTAAACACCTGGCTTTGATTTCTTTGGCAGTACATTGTATGGTGGACTATCTCCTAGTGGGGGTATCCGGGGGGCAGGCAGGGGGCAACGTGACCCACTGACGGATTTTTTAAAATCATTTTGACAGATTTTTAAATATTCATTTATCAAACATTAGCACCAAAACCCTATGAAAACAACACCAAGAAATAAAAGCAAGGCTATCGGGAAAGTGAGTAAGGCTTTTGATATTTTTCTCTCCTCCAACGTCAAATAAGCCCGAAGCGCATTCGCTTTTGAACACCCCCCGACCAAAATCTCGATACGTCGCTGCTGTCTCCAGACACCTCCCAAGGCCTCATCGAGAGAAAAAAAACCCTAAACTGGCCGAAAGGTAGGTGTGCGAAGTGTTGCTGAAGTTCCACAGAGAAAGTCATAACTTTCCGATTGCAGTTCTTCAAGAGAGAAAGTGATTTGTGATTAGCGATTTGTGATTTTATTGAACACACACCCTCCGGGCCAGCCACATAAGGTTGAGGGAGAATTGAATTTATGCGTAGCTTTCGCGTAGACAATTTTTGCACAGTGGTTTGAAATTCACCTCCGCCTTGAATTTTTGGTGCTTATTTTCAGGAATACCACATTGTCAATCGTCTAAGCAGCAAATTTGAACTTCAAAAATATCAGAGGCAATTCTTTCTTGACCGCCTTTTCCGTCACACAGAGCGGCTTAAGGGCTTCACGTACGTTTTTTTGTACACGAGAGTAAATCCCGCATGTCATTGTGTTACAACACGACAACAAATGCCAGAGTGATGCAGCCTGCACAGAGCATGCAGAGTGGAGGCGCAGACCGTGGCCCACATGAATAATGCTGCATAATCAGTGGTTAGGTTGTGAATCATCAGATGAGCCAGTACGTTGTAACCAAAGCGGCGCAAGATGGCGAACTTCACCGTGAATACACGCAAAATGTTATAATCGCATAGGCGCCTTTGAGCAAGCAAGACGCGTGCGCAATGCACATTAATGCACAGGCGCAGGCGCCGCGACAGGCACGTGCACCTAGTGAGCCTGCGCCCAAGCATAACCGTAAACTGCGCAGGCGTATTGCTTGCTCAAATGGAGCCCATGATATTAACATCTTTTGGGCAGAGTTATCCATCTTGTTGAAACTATAGTTCACGGCCGCAAAAGATGGGTAGGTTTTTAGGCGGTATTTCTGTGCATTACTGAGGTTGGCTGCCATCACATCTACATTTTTAAAATAACTAAATCTGGGCTAAAGCCTTAGTGCCAATGTTGGCCTCGAAAAATACAAGTGGCTCAGCTTCCACCGACCGCCATGATATACATAGGCCTACAGGTATAAATTGTCCTCGGCTTGCAACAAACCGATCATTGTCTCTCTGTTTTAGTATTAATAATGAAACACCTCAGTTCGGACAAAAGAAAGTAAATAAATCAAAATAGAAGGGATACAATAAAATATAATTACAAGATATGCAAAATGAAAAAATTTATGGGCAGTTTTTTTTTTGGTCTTGTTTTGGAGTGGGGTCTCTTTTCAATTCCTTTTCTTGTTCATATTCTTATTTGGGGTGAGGGAGTGGGAAAGGGATGAGTTTTGTCTGCTTTCTTGTAGCT